AACCTGGCAGTTAGAATATCTAATTAATAATTCAAATTGTAGTGAATTATTAACAGCACTTCAATTACTTACTCCACGTTCTACTGTTGGAAGTTTGGCAATGAATGATAATTTTGAAGCTGCTAAATTGCATCAATTTTTAATAATGCGTAACTTAGAGTGTGAATTAAATACTGGTACTGAGGATTTTCCTGGTGAAATGATGAAACCAAAGAAAATACAAGTAGTCTTGCCTGATAATATTTACAATTTATTAATTGATTATTATAATAATTGTTATAAATCAAATTTTGTTTCTATTGGTGAAATCGGACCAACTGTTCATCCACTTATAAATCAATTTGGACGTATTCAGATTGGATCTAAAATATTCAGATCAAGTATGGCACCAACATATCAAAAAAGTTCATATATTTTAGCAAAATTTATTCAAGATAATGAAGTTATTGAATTGTTTCCTGGGCAGGTCCAATTTTATTTTGAGCATAAAATATCTTTAAATGATAAAAAACATATATACTATTTAGCATATGTTAAGTGGTTTTTGCTGGCTCAAAATTATAAAACCCAATTTTATTACCAAATCGATAATGATTTAAGGTGTTGTAATATAGAATTATGGAAAAAAGAATTTTATTCAATTGGCAGAAATTCTATTATACCAATTCATAATATTTATAGCCATTTTATACCTTTTAAACTTCTTATAGGTAAACAAAATATTGAATATATAGCAGTAATACCTATTAATAGACGCTTTCACTTATAAAATTTACTATGTTAAAGTAATAGTCTGTTATGCCAATATAAATATATACTGCAATAGTGATAGTAAACCTAATATATATAAGGCCAAGCCAAGATCTAGTAGCTATCATTAAATTTTGTATTTTGTTGGCAAACCTCTTTTCGCAAGCCCAAGATCTAAATAAATTGATTAAAAAAATTAGAGTTAAAAAATAATTATCAATAATTTATAATATAGCAATTATACTTACCAAGATGGCTTCATCTTGAATTTTTAATCTTTGGTAATTGCGAACCTGACTTTAAGGATTTGGCTTTTTTATTTTTAATATTTATGCATATATTTGTATTATTATTCGAATCTGAATTGCTAAAAAGGGAGCCAAATTTTCTGTTTTGCTTAATCATAGTGCGATGTATAAAAAATACGACACTATGACGTACATCTGTAAGAACTAGAAAATTACCATGAACCAAAATATTAGACCTAAAAGCCACTGCTTGACCCTCTTTAACATAAACAACTAATTTAAATTCTGAAAACGCTAATTGTCCACCTTTAAATATCCCAAGTAGGCAAACCACACAAAGTGGATTACGGTGGTCTTTTAGATCTTGATGGAACTGAGAAATAATGTTGAAATTAACTGCCACAGTGGGAAATGCACCAAATAATTTAGGAACGTTTGGTCCAAGATCAAGTTTTCTCATTTTTGCATACAAGGCTGGATATGTATCTCTAATATAACCATTAACAATATCAGATAATGGTTGAAGGCCTTGTATTAATTCTTGAACACATTTTAAATGATCTTTGTTGTGAGATGAGGCGGTATTAGCTTTATAATAAAATATATTATCTCATAAGATGTTTTCTGAATATATATTCTTTAGCATAAGACTCAACCAGAAACCCGTCAGTCGACCAAAGATGAGGCTCGTGAATATATTAGTATCCAATGGGTATCAGAAGACTTATTTTCTAGTGATCTTAAATCGACTAAAATTTTACAGCCTTATACTTTGATAGATCCAAAATTTGCTTTTATTAAAAAGTTTTTAGAAAGAAGGCAACAAAGACAAACTATTCAACTAGTACTCATAGATAACTCTGAAATACTGATACATTATATGGCTCTGCTGGAGTCCGAGATCTTTAATGAAGGCTCTTCAAATTCAACACTTAAACAGTGGAAAGAGTTTGGGTTGTGGGCTAATTTTTCAAAGGTTCCTAATTTTAATAAGCGATTTCGTCTTCATTGCTGGTCTAATGTTATGCATGCCTATCAAGAAGCTCAGGAAAAAATACAAAAAGAATATAATATCTCAGAAACGTTTAGCCAATTATCAACAAATAAATTAGATATAGCTAAAGTGATCACAAAAGATGTAGCTATTGGTAATAAAATTAAAGGTTATTACCACGTTCTCAACCCACAATGCTTCAAAAATTCTTTTGGTGAAACTGTAGTAGATTTTTTTGACCTACCTACTACAACATTTATTGAAAATACAAGGATTATAGTAAACCAATATTATAATCACAATCTCAATAATAAAAAACATCAATCAAAAGAATTTAAAAAAGAATTAGTGGAGCATTTTGGTAGCTTCACGGGCAACAATAACGAACTCTACACAACTGCAAATACTGCCTCATCTCACAACAGGAATCATTTAAAATGTGTTCAAGGATTAATACAAGGCCTTCAACCAATATCTGATGTTGTTAATAGTTATATTAGAGATACATATCCGGCCTTGTATGCAAAAATGAGAAAACTTGATCTTGGACCAAATGTCTCTAAATCATTTGGTGTTTTTCCCACTGTGGCAGTTAATTTTAATATTATTTCTCAGTTCCATCGAGATCTAAAAGATCACTGTAATTCACTTTGTGTGGTCTGCCCACTTGGGATATTCAAGGGTGGACAATTAGTATTTCCAGAACTTAAATTAGTTGTTCATATTAAAGAGGGTTAAGCAGTGGCTTTTAGATCTAATATTTTAGTTCATAGTAATTTACCAGTTCTTACAGGTATACGTCATAGTGTCGTATTTTTTATACATAGTACTATGATTAAGCAAAACAGAAAATTTGGCTCCCTTTTTAGCAATTCAGATTCAGATAATAATATGAATATATGCATGAATATTAAAAATAAAAAAGCCAAATCCTTAAAGTCAGGTTTGAAATTACCAAAGATTAAAAATTCAAGACGAAGCCATCTTGGTAAGTATAATTGCTATATTATAAATTATTAATAATTATTTTTCAACCCCAATTTTTTTAATCAATTTATTTAGATCTTAAGCTTGCAAAAAAAGGTTTGCCTGCAAAATATAAGATTTAATGATGGCCACTAGATATGCAAAGATAATATAAGTACTATTTATTTTCCACGTAAGTAGGAATAAGAGGTAAATCCTCAATCAACCGGGAGCCCAAAGGGCCTCCAGTTTATTGTGGTTTACCAGTTTATTCCCCTGTAGTGGGAAATAAGCGTGTTATTCTTCGTTTCATATAATGTCATGATGATGTTTTACAACTTATATAAATAACCTCTTTTTTTTAATAGACTTTTTTTTTAGCACTCTTTTCTTTCTTTTATCATTCTTCTTTTTTTCTGTTCTACTATTTTAAACTGAATAACAACTTGCATGAAAGTTTCTTGCCGTTACTTTTTTTTATTTCTTATATAATATTGATATTGGTGTGTATTTATGTTTAATAAGTTAATATTCTATATGAATACGTATAAGACTTCTAAGTTAGTCAAAAGCAGTAATATTATACAAGGCTAGGCTTAACTAATACTATTGAATATAATTGATATCTGATTGACCTCTTTTGAAGCCAAAAATTAATAGCAATAGGGAGGTACCCTATTGAGTCTCATTTTACTGGTGTTTAAATTACAAACTCGTATATAGTGTCCAGGATACTGCTATGGCAGATATAGTCTTTTATTGTGGTGATAAAATTA